TATTCCTTTCCTTCTGCTCTTACCCTGCAGAATTGAGTGAATCATTAGCTTGTCCAGCCTCACCTTTTTTCCCCACTCCCTTCTTCAGTCTCCTTATAATTTCTTGTCTTTGATTGTAACATGAATGCAGAAAAGCTTAGAATCCTCCCTTACCTCCTTTCTTCTCTCTCTATTGTAGTGAAAGTGACCTGGAGGAAGTGCTGACATTTTACACGCACAAAAACAAGACAGCAAGTGTCTTCCTAGGAACAAACTCCACAAGCACAAAACCCAGCAACACCAGTAACCGGTCAGAGAAACAGCCTCAAGGGGGTAAGTGTTGCAGTCGGTTCTGAGTTGATGTTGCCCAGACAAATCCAGTTTAACTTCAGTCTATGGAAAAAGAACAACCTCTCCAAATTGTTATTCAGGTTTCTTGAGGTTACATTTTTTTTTTTTTTCCCCCCCCTAACTGACTGTGTGAAAACTAGAGTAACCTCTCTCATGCCTTCTTTGCCTGAAGTGAAATGGGATTAATCTGGACTAGCATCTACAAGGAACTAGATATGGCTCATGACTGAAATGGGAATGTGCAAAAGCACTGAGATTTAAAATGAATAGAGAATCCCGAAATCAAAGTAAGGGATGAGAGAAATAAAGACCTGTTAAAATGTGCTGCCTATGGTGAGTGGACCCATGGGAGGGCAGAGTTTGTATATTCGAGCCAAATTAGATGTTCCACAGAAGGAAGTGTAGTGCCAGCCATACATATCCAGTAGTCCATGCTACTGTGTGTGACAGCACACCTGTGATCAGTAGTTGCATGGTCTGCAGTAAATATGAGCAAGAAAGTCCTTTGTAACAAGGTTTAAATTCTGCAGTCATGTTCTAATGATATCACAGTTTGCATTGTTCTACTTCTTAACTCCTTGATTTTGTTTTAGAGCATCCTGAGGTGGTGAAAAAAATAAAAGGTGATCAGCCCAAAAGTTCAGTTGTAGATCTGCCTGCAGAAGAAGCATTAAAAGGCTGTAAACCCAAAGAAGTTAAATCAACATGTAAGTGTTAAATCTTCATCAAGAAAATAAAAATAAGGCATATATTGGTTTTAATACTGTTTTAAACAAAGATTGGAACCTTTGGATTCAAACAGAGGGATGCAAATGCCCAATTTTGGGGAAGATTCTGCAGGTTTTTCTTTTAAACCCAAGAGAAGATACTGTAGAGAAAGCAGTGTGAAAGAGATAGCTGTGGGGGAAGATCTAGGGTATGGCAAGCTTTGAAAGAGGATCTTCACCCTCTAGAGCCTCTTCTTGTCTTTGCTGGTAGATGAGGTCATTTTGGCTTTAGTGTGTCTGAGGAGAGGCATTTTTGGTGTGTTGATATTATCCAAAGGACCTGAAAAGCAGCTTTTTCTCATGTAGTGTGCTCGTTATCTTTGTGTAGTTCCAGAAGGACCCACCTTCTCCTTAAATACTGAAGTGAAATTACCTCGGTGTGCCCCTCCTAGTGCTTCTTCCTCCATTTCTGGTGCCACATTCCGGAGGAGTACCAGTACCTGGATACCATCTCAGCCTGCAGCCTCTGAAAATCCACAGGTGCCTGGTCACCACCCATTGCCGGCTCCTCCAGTTGGTCCCAGGCTGAATCAGCCCCCGTCCCCACTACCCTCCTCGCAGAGCACAGCTCCTGACAGCTCTTCTGTCTTCACAAACCCAGTGTCCGGCGAGGCTTCCAGGCTTGCGGGGTTACACCGTTGTCATTCTGGTAGCTACACCATTGGCCCATTTTCATCTTTTCAGAGCGCTGCTCAGATCTATAGCCAAAGATTGTCCCGACCATCCTCTGCAAGAGTAGGTGAGTGTTCTGGGATGTGTAAAACCTGCTAGTTCTGTACAGAGATTGTGTAAGCTCTGTTTGGACTAGGTAGAAATTTTACATTTCCAGAATTATTATTTTTGTTGAACGGTGCTAAATTTTTCATGGAAAGGAGGAGTGCAGCAATCAGCCTGTGTTTGCCAAAGATGCCCTTTTCTTGAGCAGATGAACAAGGAATCATAGAATTGTTTAGGCTGGAAGAGCCTTTGAACTTGTTCAAGAAGGGCTGGGAAATGAAGTATTGTATATTTATGGTTGATTGTATTACTGATCTCTCATTTATCTTTAGTGATTTTTAATGTGTGATTTTAATGACCCGAGTGTTTGTTGGGTAGGTTTGTGCCATCGCAGTCCAAGCGGGCAGTGTATGGGCTCAGCCAGGATGCACAAAGATGCAGAAGATACTTCTTCCCAGAGCAAATGCTACAGCCCCAGCATGGTAGCAGCAGAACTCCAGCAGCTGGCAGAAAAGCAAACAGCCTGTCAGCTTTCCCACACCAGTCTCCTTACGCAGCAGGTATGTAAATAGTGAAGTTAGAGTCCCTGTGACAACAGAAAAGTCTGGCAGAGGCTTCAGTGTCAGTGCGAGGCTGGGCTGGGACACGCTGGAAGGAGTAAATCGCATGGAAATCGATTTCTGTCATATTGTTGTTTTGGAGTGTTTACAGGGACCAGAATTTCGATTTTCTGTGAGATGACAAGAATGTTGCTGAAGTCCCTTTGTAGATGAAAATGAGACTGGGCAGAGGATTGGAAAATATGTTATAAAAAACCTAATCCATGCTTGGTCTTGTTAAACAATAAAACTGAGTCTTCTCAGATTTGCTTCTCAGGATTGCTTCCTCATTCCTTTAGGGTGTCATCACAGTGCTGGGAATGAAAGTCTGCAGAATGGGTTCTGATGGAAGTTCTATATTCCAATAACATGGCAAGGACATAATGAAGTGCTTACCAGCATGGGATATCATAGTTCTTTTGCTAAACATGGTGCTATGGATCAAAATTACATTGGCTTCTGGTAGAATTCCGTTTAGTTTCATATTTTTTCTTGAGTTAGGTCCTAAATGGCTACACACGTAGTCATTTTTTTCTTTATCGTATGCTAGAGTTGTGTTCATCAGAGGTGTTCAAGTTGGACACTTCTCAGTTAATTAAGCTGCCAACTGGAGGTTCTCCAGAATAACCATTTTGCTTTGGAAGTTATTTTTGTCCCTCTTTACTTACTAGGGACAAACAGCTTAAATATCTTTGCTCTGATACTTTGATTTTGGATATATTGTTTTAACAGTGATGTTTTGCTAAGTTTTTTTGAGGCATGTTTAATAGTTGCAATAGCTGCTGCTATTTGCTTCTTTTTATTTTATTATTGTATGTTTGGATTTTGAGTATCTTGTTCGATGAGGCTTTGAGCAGCCTCGTCTAGTGGAAGGTGTCCCTGCCCATGGCAGGGGGGTTGGAACTCGATGGTCTTTAAGGTCCCTTCCAACCATAACCGTTCTATGGTTCTGTGACAATTGGCAATATGTCTTTTTCAAAAAGTGGGGTGCATTTATAACTCTAGGAAGCTGAGTAGATTTTTTGACCCTTCTACATTTAGTTCAGGGTTTTGATTCAGTCTGGACATTTTCAAAACTGACACAGACATTCTGGACTTTGCAAACAGGTGTTGAACTTTAAAGGATATTCAGAAAAACAAAGCACCTTCTGGCTGATGGACTCGGAGAATGCATGCACTGAATGTACCAGTGATGCTGAGGTCTGTCTGATCTGGCATCAGGCCAGACCCTGCTCAGAGGATTTGATCTTTCAGAGCCTGAAGTGGTATGGGGAACATCAGGAGAAGCTTGTTTGCTTCTTTAGTAATATGCAGAGCTGTCAGTCTGGTTCTCTCAATGTAATCAGAATTGAGCTTTTTAAGATAAACTTGGTCAGTAAAACTGTTCAAAAACTTTGGGAGTGAAACATTTTCATTCATGAAATGCTGATTTGTTGAAAGCTAAATATATGATGGAAACTGCCTCCTTGGATAAAAATCAGTAACCAAACAAATATTTGGTAAAAAATGAAGTGCATATATTTCATTTCAGTCTTGTCAGAAAAGAACTTTTAAAACCAAATGCATAGACTGTCTCCCTAAAACCACTCATTTCCCACTCGGCTCCGACTGCTGCGGTTTCTTAGGTCTGTCTAGAGAACCCAAGTTGCCAGTCGGTCAGTCATTATCGGTATACTCAAGTCTGAAAGTGTCTATGAAGTGCAGTGGTTGCCCTGGAAATGTGGTGGTGGTGGTACATGTGCCTGCATCACTTTTTGCTTCTGGGTTCTCCCAAGATGCTTTCCCGCAGAAGAAGTAGGAAATGTACAGAAGAACAAAGACGTCAGCTCCTAGCAGACAATGTAGGTTTTCCAACTGACTTTGATATATTTTGCATTCTGCTTATATAGTGTTTGTACAGGCTTTGCTTCTGTAGTGAACCATGGGGTGGGTAGTGTCGTAGTGGTCATTGTAAAAAGGGATCCCTGTGTAGAAAGGGATTCACAGCTCAATGAAAAACTTAGGGCTGGAGCTTATCTGACAAAGAATTTCCTTCCTGAGCCTGCATCCAGACAGTTCTAGACACCTGCTCTCCTCTGTGATTCTTCAGGCCGTGTTTTTGCAGTAATCCCTTTGGGGAGATGAAATCTGAAGCTTTCTTAGTATGATAATTTGGATGATTGAGTTGTGGACAGTTTTTCTTTTAAGGCAATCTGATTCTTCAGTGCTGAATTTATGGCACATAGTAATTTCTAAGCAGAGACTATTATTTTAATCATACCTGAAACAGTGATGGTTTGGAAGATTCAGATGTAACAGCAAGGCCCAAAGGAACTTAAGAAAAGCATATGGCTACTAGTTGTGGGGCTTTCTTTTTTCCTGGACAAATTCTACTCTTCTGTTATCTAGTCATTCTGATTTTTTTCTTTTTAATCCAGCCTGACTTTTTTAACCTGTCTTTCAACAAGGACCAAGGGTTTTAGTTCTGTGGGAAGACAAAGCTGCCATGACAATGAAGGGTGACAAGAGGTACCAGCATATGATAAAAGCATAATAGTATGGCAGTAGATGCCTGTACAGGCAAAACTGGAGAAGACAAGGAAGGGTTGGGCTCACTGTTGAGGGACCTGGAACCAGGACACCAGGCATTGAGCCATTAGGTATGGATGTGGATTTGAAGCAGGGGGATTGAATAAGTAAGAGAAGCGCAGGCATTACAGAGTAGGCTGGCGGCTTGGTAAGTGATTTGCAGAAGGGTAGATACCAGTGAAGCTATTTGAGAGCACTGTGTGGTTATAGATTTGGGCAGAAAAGGATTGGGTCTGAACCAGGAGAGAGGAAGATAAGGGCAGAAGAGATAGAGAAACGTGGGAGAGGATTTCATAAACAGCTGGAGAGAAATGAGAAGTCAAAGACCATTGGTATGCATTGAAAAGGGGGAAAGACTTGGGATGGGAGTGTCTGGGGACTCTGAGTTTTGAAACCTTGGTGGCTTTGGGGCAGGGGAAGTAAAGGATTGAAAGCTCAGAGGTTAGAGATAGGGTTGTGTGACGGTGATTTAGTTAGAGGGCACTACTTTCATGTGCATTTCTAGGCAGGAGACTGAATTGTTATTTTCCCTCTTTCCACTGCTCTGTTTAAGCCACTTGAAATATAATAGTGCTTTTAGGGTAAAAGCATTCTAAAATAAGCTGGCATGAAAACGACCTCTGGAAGAGAGCATCACTTACCTAAATAATAAAAATAGTACAATTGTTTAAAGCTGCTCCAGAAACTTGGAGTTAGTCTACCTTGTTGGAAAGTACCTGGCTGGATTGAAAGGGACTTGATATTTGGATTTGATTAGGTTTAATGGCAAGATTAGGACCACTGATTTGGAGGGAGTATGTGAAAGAGAGACTTTTGAAAATACTACTATTGCTGTGGACCATGTTTCTTTTCGAAGGCCAAGAACTCCTATGTGAGAGTTGAATGCCTTTGTCTGTGCCTTGGTTCCCTGTGTTGTGCCCAGCTGTTTGGGGGCGGGGGTACTCTGAATACATTACCTCTGTCCAAGTGCAGCTGGGAAGCTTGTTTTCCATTGCTGTTCTTGTGAGAATTGCTTCTGGTATCCGTGTACTGGCGTGGGTCTCCAGGGTTCCCAGGAATGTAGCCTCAACAGCTGTGCTTGGAATGATGTTGCCATTCTGGTTGGGAGTCCACCTCTGTCCCTCTCTGATCCCTGCTGTTCTTCACTGTTTCCTACCCATGTCCAAAGCACCCGTTTCATGTTTTCTCTCTTACACTCTTGTATTCTACACTCCCTATTAAAAGTTAATTTATTAAGCCATCTGACTGCTGAAATGACAATATTCAAAGGGAGACTATTAAGTGTAAGTATCTGATGAGCTTTGAACAAGATATTTGAAATCTGTTGTCTTAAGAAAACAAGATTTTTGTGATTACATCAGCTTTCATTCTTGTCAGTCCTCTCCATTCACTTCTGAAACACCAGATGGGAACTGCACAGTGACACTCATAAACTGAGCAGTTCTTACAGTATGGGAGGTGGAGATGGTAGGAAGGGTAAAGCCTCACTGATGTGCAGCTTCAGTCTCTTGTACACAGTTCTCACTCCTCACAGGCTGTCTCACAAAGTGTGTGAGAATGTTTTGCCTTTCATTAACTTGTATTTTTGAAAAATATTTTTCATTATGTTGTATAAAATTTCACCAGTGCATTCTCCTGCTTGCAACATGGAGAAAACAAGGGTGCCTTTACAGTGGTATACAACAGAAATATTGATCTAGAACCCACAAGGATCATTACTTCATCCTCTGCATCACTGTATGATGCCTTACTGCCCAGTTGCAGGAAGGAGATGGATGAATAGAGGGAGGACCAGTATTTTTCTGTCTTAGACTAGGAAGGGAGCAGCTGTTTCTCTACTGTCTTTAGTGGCAAGTGCAAGAAAGATGTTGCCTTAAGGACATGCTAGTGTGTGACAATCTCAAGTTAGGCTATGAAAGATAAATAGTCAGCATTACAAATTAATAAATACAGTGAAGCTGCTAGGGAGAATCTTTAAGATAGCTATTAACAACGAACGTTAGTTTTTACTTCTAAGGAATTTAATTCCATTTTATTTATGTAAAAACACAGATTTACAATGGTTTTGTGATTGCGTAACATCAGAATCAGCTTTATTATAAGATTTTATGACAAACAGTGAGAATTATGTACCTTTATCCATTAGAAGACTTTCAAACACTGCCTGTTTTTTGCAGTGCTTGCTATTTAACTACAGTACTCCACAGTATACAGAAATACCAAGGTGTTCCTCTAGTTAACTACCCAATACATTTGGGAGCAAGCAACACAGAGCTCTATGGAAAATGTTTGAGGCCCCAGCATTAACCTGGTAAGTTCATGGCTGAGTAGCATAATAAGAAGGTATCTGAGCTCAAAGGGTCATAAGAAAACAGGTAAGGAAGAGAGAGCTC